CATCTGCATCTTTCTTGTAACATGTAGATTCTTGTAATATATAAAGAATGGAACATACTTTATAAATTAGCATGTTCTCCAACAAGGTGGTATTATTAAAAAAAAACCAAAACAGCCAGAATTTCTTCCTTTTCCTTTATTGATATTGCCAATGTGACTACCTTTATGCAGATAGATTGCTTTCCTATACAACATGCATTCTTTTTTGGAATTAACATTGCCCTCTAGACCTCCTAAAATTATTAAAATAATACCAGTTGTTCCTTAACTTCCACGTTTTTCTTTTAAGAATTTCCATTAAGTTCTTTGCTGCAGGTCTGTGTAAAGGTTACTTGGCAAGAGTTCATGCATATGACAATAAAATGGAGACCAATCCACCACTAAAAGGAAATGCACATAAAAACATAATACAGTACTTTGACATTCAAATAAATACCCACACAGAGATGTAATTTTAAATGTAATCATACCATTTATAAGTCAATACTGTAACCAAAAGGATAAAAACTTAAGTCCCCACCTTCTAGAACGTTTTTCAGCAAACAGAAAACTTTTTCCCATGACATGATTATGATTTCAATTTTTTTTAAATTAATTTATATAAAGAGAAAAACTGATTTCTGCTCCTCACAAGGTTACCAAATTTAATTATTCAAAGTTAGCCTCAACAAATAGCACTGCAGGGACAACTTGTTGATGCACATCTCAGTTTCTGTTTCCTGAAATCACAAATGAATTAGATAAAACATGCAAGAGAAAAATATTAAATATCTTGCTTTTCTTCTTCACATTTGCAAACAATACTATGGTTAACTGGATCCATCACCACACAAAGCTACAGAACTCCCAAAAGATCCTCTGTACTGCAACCACAAATGCATTAATACACCTTGCTTCTTTTGTTCAATAATATTACTTTTGGTTTACAAAGTATATTTGTGTTTTGTTTACTTTTTTTCTTCTATACCCCTGAATTTGCATGATGAAGTATCATTGACTAACAGAATTTTTTACAATTTGAGCAAATGTAGTAGATCTACTCTACAGTAGGTCTACTCATTAATCAATGTGCGAAGGGGAGGTTATATTGCCCTTATTGCTCCACTTGATAACTAGCTTTCAAAACCATGGTTCCTTATTTCTTGGACGGACTAAGCTAGCTTAGGGATCTCCCTTGAAAATTATGAAAGGCACTACTGGCAATAATTAAATGAAGAAAAAAAAAGGCGCTGAAGTAAAACCCCCTAGCAGTCCCAACTTCAGACGTCATATTTCTAAAATGTAACACAATTTGGCACAATCAAACAAAGTAGTAACAAAAACAATTCCAATTTGGAATTTAAGTGATATCGTTGTATAAAATTCTGTTAACCAATCATACACCGTAAGGTTTTCCTAAAACCCAGACGTTCTGGAATTTATAGGTAACACTAATATTTATTTTCAAGTGCCTATAACTGTTTTCACCAGAGCAAAGTCAAGTTTTCTTCTTGTTACATTGAACTATTCCTAAGAATAATAATACAATATGAAAAAACCCCAGAATTTGAATACCCTGGATTTCTCAATTAACATGGCAGTTAAAAATCAGTAATTGAAAACATATAAAGCTTAATATTTTATATTAAAAAAGAAAAAAAGATGCTGATAACACAGCACGTAGATCTTTCAGCAGAAGTCCTAGTTTGTATTGAAGCTCCTTTCTAAATACAGGATAGAACAATACAATGTAGTATAAAACTCTGCCACAAATGGATGAGGAAAGGTCAAGCAGGAGCTCCAAATAGACAGACTATTAGCATAAGTCACTAGATCCCCCCCCCCATTAATATAAACTCTTCTACAAAAAAAGAATAAAAAGATATTAAAGTAAATATCAAAATAGTAAAAGTGCACGTTTAAAGAATTAACTGATTTTTTTTAAAAAAAGAAAGCTCTATAATGAAATTAAAAAAAAAACCGTTTGAATATTTCTTATGAGCATAATAAGCTACCATGGCAATTATTACATGTACTTTATAAAGTATGTTTCTTCAGCATTTGTAAGTTTTCTTCCTGCAGCAGCACTTCAAAGATAAAGCTTTATTTTTGTTTGTTTCCAGACATAACATGCCAAAATAAAAAATAAAATAAAAAAGGCTAAATGAGAACACAGGTTGCATATTGAAAAGAACATATTTTGCATGGGGGGGAGGGAGTATTCATTAAGAGTAGTTTCCATTCTTTGTGCAACAGGCAACCATCACTTCTAAGCATAGCGACACAGGCTAAGATATGAAGTTGTATTGTTGTAATGGCCTTCTCCACGAACTACTCTACAGCTGGAAGGTGGAAAGTAAAAAAAGAAAAAAGAAAAAAGCAAAAACATTAGATTTTTTTTAAAAGTTTCACTGTCCCAGTTTAAAAAAGGAAACATATAAAGATATAGAAAAGAATGTGCTGCAGGACATCTATAACACATTAATTAGTTGAGATGCATGTGTTAGTCTTTTAAAAGCCAATAAAGCTCATGGGTGCTTTTTCAAACACCAAAGTTAATATTTTAATATGTCACCTGTTAGCCAAAGCTGTGCAGGAAGAAAAGTTTCTTACAATTCCTGAAGCCAAGTTGCTCAAGCGTAAATAAACAATGGCAAATTCACAAGGGAATTGATCAGTGAAGCTGCTGCCTCTTCACAAGCATGCAGGTGAGTCAGTATATCATGCCAGCCAATACAGTGAGCAGTAAAATCACTCAGAAGAGAAGTCCCACTTGCAGAGGTAGGTGATGGCTTAGTAAGTTTTCCACGTTGTATTCCAACCCAATAAAAGCAAAAGGAAACATTGGATGCATCAAGTTAATTTTGAAAAATTTAAACTAAGTAAGTACAAGCCCCTCTCAAAGCTTAGACATAACAGCAAATCATAGCTGTTTTTCCCCAAGTCTGTTTCTAAAAATTGAATGTACGACTAAACAAACATAAGGATGCAGCTGGGCTGACATTCTCTAAGCAGCGCTTCCCAAACTTGGATAAATTACCCAAAGTTAGGTAAAAATATTTTTTCTTCCAGTAATGACATACAAACTCATTACCCAATCCCAACAGGGACATTCAAATTAAACTGTATTACCTACATTGGGTCCAGATCCAGAGGACTTTCTGATAAACCCTTTTGGGTAATGAAGCTTGGGAAGCACTGCTCTAAGCAATTACTGTGAATTCTGAAGACATAGAATGGTTCAAGGCTAAGAAGAATGAAGATTAACAACGATGTAAACAATTAGCAAGCCTATTGAAAATTATAAATATAAATTAAACAATGCAACCCAATGCACAGTTGCAATTCCAGAATCCTTAAATCTTCCAATTTAATGTCAATTTACTTGAATTTTTTTACTGATGCAATCAATTTCTTAAAATTTCCTCATCCTAAACCCAAGAAATGGAGACGCTTGAAAACTGTATTTCATAGATCCCTCTTAACCTGGAAGCAAAACATTGCTGCTTCTAACAGAGCAAAATAGCTCAATATTTATTATCAAGGCAGGGGTTTTGCAAGAAGGGAAACAGAGCTTAAAAAGGCCTTCTGGATTATTGAGCATTGAAGGAGAAAAGCAGGGTGCACCACTGTTAAAAGGCGTTCTAAAAATATCAAAACCTGGCAAATAGCTACATTAAAGCTCAAATTCAGGAGAATAGAATGTTTCCTGCAAAAGCAATAATAAAGTGAGGCATGTAGGACCTACCATTTTACACTGTTCATATGTTTGCCAATCGGTCAATAATTCACAATTAGTTTGAATTCAACAGAACTAATTTCACCTCCTAATTTCTACGTTCTTTATTATTGTAAAATTTCTTTACAACCCATGTTGCAAATATGTTCAGTTTTCTTTCCAATTTCAAGAAAGATGTAAGCAATTCTTGGTGTCCTTTTACTAGGAAAGCCCTCTCTTTATTATTTTACAGTAACTTTGCTATATCTCCTAACTACTTCATAGGCAGAGCAGCGCTACATAGGAAGGAAGCTGCAGATCATCTAAAAAGAGATAGTAATGTGAGACGAGGCAATACAACACCAAGATTATTATTAGCATGGCTTGAAGGGGGAAGAGGAAGGAAGGAAAGAGATATTTCTACATTAGCAGACATAGCTGCACAGTCCTGCATTACTTCTTTGTAATATTCTAAGCATACAAAGTTATTTGAAAAGAGTACCGTATGAACAGGGCTTTACATTAAAATAATGTTTGAGGCTAGGCACTTCTGAATTATTTTGTTTTTAAGTGTACCTTTTTGTGCTCCTTGGATTTACCACAATTTTAAAAACAAAACAAAACATAATTTTCTCCTCTTCCCCCCTTCTTTAGGCACCAATTATGAAGTACACTTTTTTAAAAAATCTAGTGTATTGAAATTAAGTGGCTGAAAAGGCCCCTTAAAAGTTTGACGAAGTATTTTTAATCAATGAATACATTTCTGCTAATCTACCTCACAATTGGGCATAACCAAGAATAAACTAATCATTTAGTTTCCAGTGCCTAGAATGTAGAGCCCTGTGAAGTGTGTGGTTGCATAAGAAATACAATTTTGTTTTATTTAAACAAAACTTAGAGCTCATTAATACTATCCTATAAAGCTCTAATACTGACAGTTAAGGAGAAACTGCATTGCAATTTGACAATACCAGAACATACTATTAATTCTATACACATAGATAGTAATAATGGACATCCTCTAAGCATATGTAATCTCTTTGATTGTAGCAGAAAACAATTATACAATTGTCCCACTAAAATCAAGGGAAGTTAAATAAGCTTAATACTAGATAATGTCCAATGTGTAATTCACCCTTCCTTCTGGCATATTAATTGCCAGAAACTATAATATTTTATCATTGTAGTATAGTATACTCTTCCTACATCACACCTGCTCTGATGTAGTATTCTAGTTTTGCTTTCCTTAACCATTAAATTCTCCTCCCAAACAGGCAATATTACATTGCATATTTTTTTTTAATGTGCAATTTTTTAATAGCTTAAGCCCAAGAAGCCAAGCAGGGCTAGAAAATAAAGGGCTTGAGAAGGTTACCTTCTTTCCCATAATTTGCATTCATATTTAAAATTTAGAGAAAAGATTTTTGATTTTTAGATAATGATAATGACAGCAATTAAGCGCTGCAGCAGATTTAATCATCTTTTCATTGTACTTCTGATTTTAGAAGCTGGATACCCTCACTTCTCAAAACTACTAACCAAGGAGACAGTTTTGCTGTCTCCATCCCTGGAAACAAACTTACAACTCTGGGGAAAGCATCCCATTTGTGCTAGACAAGCTACAGTTAGTAACAGCATATAGACTGTACCTGATATGCTCCTTTAGCACTTACCCATAATCCACAAAACCAAAGCCATTCACTGTAGAAACAGCAAATCCTCTTCCACCATTAACTTCTTCACAGCCTTTTCCCCAACCATGCTTGTGATTCAGTTACAAGTTAAGACCACTATAATACACCTTGTATTACATGGTTTAACAACATACTAATATAAATCCACTCATCATTGCAATATTAATATAGTGGGGATTAATGCTGACATTCAAATGCACAAACATCAGACGTGTGTTTACGGCTTCCTAATTTCTTCTTTAATCACAACAGATCTTATACTTATCACTGCAAAAAACTTGGTTATTAAGCACAGAGCCTTCCGACTTGTCTCCACATGATCGAATGTGACTTACACTGGGGTTACTACTCTTGGCTTTGGATGCAGATTTTGCGCGCACCCTTTTGGACTGCTCATGGTCCAACTCAAGATGTTCAAGGCGCTGGGTCAGAGCCAGCTTTTGCTGAATTGCCATGCGAAGCAGGGAGTTGAGGGTCTTCTTTTCATCTTCAGCTGCAGCAAGCTGGCGTTGCATTTCATCCAGCTGAGTGACATATTCATCACACCTGCAGCAAAAGTACACTTTTTAAAAGCAAAGCCTTTAAGGGCTAACCTACAAGAATTGATTCTGGTGGGCCTTTTAAATGCATTTATAACTTGTAAGAATAGTCTATTCACATATGTGGAGTGCAGAGTGTTATAAAAAAGTGCAATGTTGGTGCTCTCAAGCTCCACAGAACCTCCTGAAAATCAGATTCAGTGGCTAAACTGCCTGAAGGGGAATGAACACGTAAAGGGTTTATATTAACTAAATGGTGTTACTGTACTGTAGTGTATTGTACTAGTGTGGCAACGACTTGCCATCTAAACAGGGAATCCTGATTTTCCATATAAAAATCAAACTATTCCTTTTAATTATTAAATAAGTATTGACTAATTTATTACCACACAAAGCCCTTATAAACAGAAGAATACTGACATCGACATCCCCTAAACTCTGCTGAAGATGTTACCTAGCCTAGTAATGAAATGTTTGGAAACCAACCCACAAGCTCTGAGAATGAACCTTTGCCCTCAAATCTTGTGGTAAATTACAACTGCTTTATTTATATATATATTTGTATAGCTAGAAGCTAGAAAGAGTCCTTAGAAATATTGTGAGGTGGGCAATATTCCAAGGCTCTTTCCCCTTTTGGAAACATCACATTGGCTAGCTTTCTTTCGTAGCTGTCCCTCACATAGGCTGGGTGTACTTGTCAGCAGCTGCACAGAAAGTAAGAGGACCCCTGTGTTTGGGCAGGTAGAATACGCAAACTTACTAGCAGTGGTGAAGCAGAGGGAAGTCTCAAGCTAATGGGTGCTAGGCTTCCCACAACCCAAGATACTCCAGTGTGGTCACTTAACAATTGCAATGGAAGAGCAGAGCTGGGATTGCAAACATTGAATGAGGCAATCATGGGGATGACTCACCTAATGACCACAAAAAACTTATGTAGGCTCAATTGTGGTCATAAGTCATGGACAACCTGTATTTGCTTTAGTATGATGTGCAAACACAGGTACCATGCCTGCATGTTACACATGAACCAGGTAAATTTGCTTTGCATGGGCGTGAATAACTCTTCATGTTTAAAATTTTCTTGACAGTCTCCCTTTCATTCAAGGCTATGGTTTTTAGTATTCTATTCTCATCCTTTCTTGAATTACCACTCAGCCTTTTTATTCAAGATCACAAACTTCAGCCCTGTGAACTATCTCAAGAGAACATCACTTTTTTATTGAAAATGTTCCATAATGGTGACGAAAACCTAATGCATTCAACAACTTTTCTCCTATGTAATTTTAAAAAGTTATGGGGGTTGCTTTCCTTCCTTTCCAGACATCATAGATGGATTTTTGTGCGTGCATATGATATATATAATGTATGTAATTGAAATTAATATCTGAAGAAGAAAAAATGAGTGTCATGTTCAAGCTATCTTTCCCAGGGCCCAAACCACCCCCCAATTACTCAGTTTTGTCTACTTTTAAGGTAACTACTACAAACTGTACACAACATTTTCATTTGATGTAACCATCTTTTGCTAAATTTTACCTAGTAGCAAACATGGCCCTCAGAGAAGAGAAAGTAGCAGCGTCTTCTTTTAAAGCTTTTAGTTCATTGCGCAGCTTCATCATTGTTTCTGTAACCATTGCCTTTTCATTTTCATATTTGCTTTTCAAGTTTGCAAGGGCAACTTCTGCTGTCTGATTGTTTCACGAAATGAGCAAAAGAAAAGATTCATAATTATTGTAAGCTTCTATAAACAGTCAGATAAAGAGAATGTTAATGTATTCACGCACCCAGACAAAGACTTGATAATGCAGGCCATTAATCCAATGAACAATTAAAATACAATTCGTTATTTCTGAAGATATTTTTGATATGCAAATCTAAGTAAGAAACAAAAATGTTTGTGATAGGAGTTCATTGGGGAATAGCCTTTTAATAGCAACATTATACCCAAACCCTTCTTCCCAATGATGTCTGCGATGGAAGTGTCAAAAAAACACAGCACAAACAAAAAGATTTCTGTTATGCTTCTTCCACCATCTTACCGCTTTGATTTTCACCAGGCCTACTCCTTCCAACATTGCTGCTTCTACCACCTACACTGATGGGATTAAGGAACAAGGAAAGAAAAATGAATCCTGAAACTGTGAATCTTTCTCAATGTCCTACTTTATAAACAATAATAACAAAACATTGTCAAGAAGCACGCAAACCAATATTCTTTACTTCCTTTCTGATAACTTCTATTCAGTGACAAACTTTTCTTATTGCTGTTCAGACTACTCACTGATAAATCCATCCTTTATGATATATCTAATTTTGCCTTAAAATCATCTAAGCAATGGTTAAGCTATGCAAGTTGCCAAACTTTTTGGGGGCTGGGGGGAGAGAGTATTTATTTATAACTGCTTTACCCTAATTATACATAAATTTATATATTTTGGTCTTGCCTTCTCCTTAGTAACTTTTTCTTTAATTATTATTTGTCAAAAGAGATTTGCCCTTCTCTGTATCTTTTCCAGTTTGTCACTTTCAATTTAGATGGATCAGTTTCGACTTATACATAATAATCCAAATGTAGCTTCATGATATATTTGTTTACTTCAATCAGACTAACAAAATACAAAAAATAAAATAATGATGGCTATGCAGGCAATCAGTGAGCCTGACCCAGAAGTCATAAGAATTAAGAAGAGTGGATTATAGAAGAACCTTTCTTCCAAGAGGGGAGGATGATGGACGTTCTGGGAATAGGTTTCTATGGTACCATTACTGAGCCACATTATGTGTAATGTAATGTCAATTATATTAAGAGCTGACAATTATCTGGGGGATAAAATAGCAATTGATTCTTACAAAAAGAGCAATGAGTGAGCTACTGTAATTTTATTTCTGGATGTATCTGTGTGTGTGTGTGTGTGTGTGTGTGTGTGTGTGTGTGTGTGTGTGTAGAATCTTTTCTCTATGTAGTTTAAATCTCACCTGTTTGTTGGCCTTTAGTACTGTCCTCAGTGTTGCAATCTGTTCTCTCTTGGTGCTTAGCAAAGACTTCAGCTTCAGAATTTCTTCCATAAGTGCCTCTTTATCTTTGTCCACTACTGGCCCAAGTTCCTGGGTAGTCACCCGCTGCCGTGACAGCTCAGTTGTTCTATCTACTGCTGCTTGCAAATGCTTGATCTGATCACGGATTATGGCAATCAGGTTGTAAACATTCATAGGTTCCTTCCGGGATACTTCAGATACTGGTGAAGGGAGGGATGAAACTGGTGAAGGACTGCTTTCACCACTCCCGGTTTCTGCTTTTCCTAAGTCTACCAACAATAAACCTTTAGAGAGCAGGATTGGTGATCTGTGGCCTTTGACCTCTGGACTGGTATGTCCTCCTTTGCCCTGTTTGTAGTAATCTAACATCACTCTGTTGGGGGTTTCATTGTTGCACATACATACATGGTGATACAAGTTGGCTAATTCCTCACTGAAGGTGACCAGTTCATCTTGAGCTACACTAAGGCTGCCCTGGGTTTCCCCAGCAACATCAGTGACTTTCCTGAGTTCCTTCTCCAATCTGATGACCTGCTCTCTATCTTGCCTACTAGATTTGTCCAAAGAACTGATCTTTTCCGTCAGGGCTTGACTTTCTGTCTCATACCTGCTTTTATCCTCTTCATATTTAGATTCACATTCCTCATATTTAGTCTTGAGAGCTTTAAGTTCCTCTTTCAAGTCACTGATTTCTGCCATAGCTACTTTATACTTGCATTCCAGGATCTCTGGGCCATTGATATCAACCTCATAATAATCTCCATCTTCATGGCTATCTCGTTCTTTCTCATTGTCAAGAGCAGACTGACGTTCCTTGCTGACCTGGAGTTTTTTCATGGCATTGAGGTTCTCGGTGAGCCTGCCAACTTTTTCATGCTGCTCAGAAAGTGCACCCCGGGTGTTCTCCAGTTGCTTTTGTGATTCTTGGAGCGTAGACAACAGATTCATTTTCTCCCTCTCCATCTATAATGAAATATAACTATTATTTTCTGAACTCATATCTGTTCCTATATAGGAGCCTCACATAAATGAAAAATTTAAATTTGGCACCTGGCACTTACAGTTAAATGTCACAAGGAATATTATTATAAGATTATTGAATCTAAATGTTTTAAGCTATTATTTCCAGAATTTGGAATTGTTAACCTATAGTTTTACTTTCATTATTTTCATACTTTCGTTAATTCATTATTTGCTCTTTTTTGTTTTATAATGAAATCTGTACCAAATTACAGGCCTCTGTAGTACCGGGATTGAAAATGCATTCAGATGTTAAGGATAACTATATTATACAACACAGTTTAATTCTCACAGGTAGACATATTTGTTATTCATGATGGATTACTATTGCTCTGCCTCAATAAAGAATACAGCTCAGTGTAAGAGTTTAGACTGAACTGACCTTTGATCATTGATCACCCAAATAAATTGCAACCTCAAGTTCCTTTGGAGGCTCTAATGATATAACAGTGAAGTTTAGGTAACTATGCTAAATGAAAATAATATGTTGTAATACTAAAAATTATAATAATAATTTATAGACCACCCAATGGAGATGGCAGTTTAGAAACATAAAATATAAACAAATACATAAATATCAATATCTAACAACTTCTTAAATTTCTCTTTATTATACAGAGAATATAACAGGTAATCCTCACTTAATGATTTCCCTCTTTAGCTGAAGTTATGACAGCACTGAAAATGTAACTTGATAATTGGTAATTGTAAATTGCATTTATGACTACTGTAATGTCCTTGTAGTCACGTGATCACCAGCTCAGTCAATGAAGACAATAAAGTTGCAGTCATGTGATGTTTCTCTTAATGACAACAAGTGACTTGCTTAACAACTGCATCAAAAGTGAGGATGTAAGTCCATCATGGTCATATGATGTCTTGCTTAATGATTGCATCACTTATCAAAGGAGCTGCTGGTCCCAATTATGGCCATTAAGTGAAGACTACTTGAATATTATATACTGATTATATAAGTAAAGTTAATCCACATCAGTTTAACTGATGATCAAAGAAAATTATATTATCTATTATGATAAACATATATTTATGTAATGTTCATTCATACTTTTTCCTGGGGCAATGATGTACAAAATGAAATAGTTTTGTCTTCAAACAATAGTTTTCTCTTTCAAAACTTGAAATTTGCATGAAATGTTTTACTCTTTAAAATAATACTTAAATTAAGACAATCTAGAAAAGTAATCTATTGTGAATGGTCATATTTTAGTAAACCATTTAAAATGCCTCTACACTGTACAGTCTACAGCAATGTTTAAAAATGTAGTCAACATTATAAAGTTTTATGTGGTCTCATGGGCATCCATGCTTTGGATTTTTAATTAATATTTTTCTACCTTTAACTCTTAAAAAATTCCTTCTTTATTACAAAACCAAAATAAAACTTTAAACGTTCGGTAATTTCTATGAAAAAAATTGGAATATTTATCCATCTTATGAGATTTCAGCTTATATATATATATATATATATATATATATATATATATATATATATAT